ATGTTACATGTCCTTCAAAGGTTCCCGATTCTATCCGTTCCCTCGATGCGTCCACTAAAAGCATTATAAAGCCAAAGTAGCTCCCACGATATCTTGGAGGCATTTAAAAGGACATTTAACATGAGATAGGACGTTGCGCAACTTTTCAGTTTAGCTTTTTAGTGAAAAGATCGAGGAACAAATACTAGACAGTAACTTGATGTAGCTTGTAACATTTTATACATTAATCCTTTTCAAGGACTGTACTTTCAATCTTGAAACCATCCTTCCAAGGACGGCCGGTGGTGTCGCAAATGGATGAAACTCTTCAGATGGAAGAAGATGGCGGTCAACACCGCTGGGAGCTACCTAGAGTTTGACGACCCCCGTTTGTGCGCATCGCGTGTGCAGGTGCGGGATCACATATCCCACGGGGGAGTGCACAAGTGGCTTGTGCTAAATTGTGATCAGGTGTGGAGGCAGGCCTTGAGAAGTTCTAAGCACGTGTACATGAGAGAGCGGAGCCGTGGATTGGTTTGTAATATTGACAATACTTTTTTTTTAATCGGGTGTCCCCGAAATCAGGGCAGATATAGAACATTTTTTTCTGAACTTTCCGAGTTGATGTTCTTAATTGGGGCCAGGGGAGTGTTTTTTACTTGGTACACAGGATCACATATACACACCTTCCTCTGGTTTGTTTTGGGTCTCGGTATGGTGTAGGGCTGCTGAGAATAGGTTCGGTACCTGCGCATGCAAGGCAAAGTGCAGCACAAAGGAATCATCGCGCGAACGGACAATTTCAGCGGATGGCGCAAGAGCGTCACTGTGATGACAAGTCTTTGGAGCGACGGCTCTAGGGGCCCATTGGCCATATGCATCGCAGAAGGCTTTTTGAAGCCACAAGTCATCGAAGAGTTCAACTCCCGCCACAGGGGAACTTGCTACATCTTCACCTCCTATGGCAAGACGCACTTCATGTCCGGCGAGAGCCTCATAAGGTATATGAAAGGAGTGTTGACGGACGCTTTTGCGCTGCAGCGTGCAAAACACTCTCTTTCGGATAGTTGCAGAGGACTCCTCCTATACGACGCATGGACGGGGTACCATACATTTCGAGATGGATTGGATCTTGCGCGCCTAAACTGGAGCAAGAGTGTTAACGTAGTCCTTGGTGACCTTCAAGTCGGCGGTTGGTCTGCTAACGCCCAACCGTGCGACCAAATCCATCATCTGCTCCGTGCACGGTTTGAGCTTGTAGACTGTGAAGACATCGATTGCTCCATGAACTTGAGAAAGAGGAAGCGGTACGATGAGCACCCAGTCCTTGCGAGCGGCCAGCTCAAGAGGCCAAAAGCAGACGGAGCAGAGCTGCCAGAGAGAACGTATCGCGCATGGCTCTCTGTGCCTGGTGCTTAGTGCTTCCCAAGCGGATGTTATGTTTTTTTCCGAATCAAGTGCAACGCTCGATTTTGACAAGCCTGTTTGCCGGCAGCTCATGAGTTGGGACCTAGACGTTGTTTTTTTTAAATAGGTACTCGGGATTAGTGTGATGGCTTTTGAAGCAAGGCCTGAGAAGGCCCTGGTAGCGGCATGGGTCGCTACAGGGTTCTTCGAACCCGAGCATTTTCCTCAAGGCCGTGGTATGGACCGTGAGGCTGCCATAGCTACCTTAGATGAAAGTGGAATGCTTCGAAAGTTAGGTGTCCCTCCAGATGCCATCACTGCCTCTGATCTGCCCGAGCGAGTCAGGCCTTCTTCGCTGATGTTTCAGAACGCAGTCCTATCTCTTGAGTGCATTTCAGAACAAAATACAGTCGGAAAAATGGAAGGATTTTGTTTTATTTTTCACAGTCAACCAGAATCAAATAGGTTGAAAGGAAGGACACATAAAGAAACCATGTCCCACTCCTATCTCATGTTGCGCCCATTTTCCAGTTGCAGGTGGTATTGGTGTGCGGAGCTTGAGGGCGGCCGGCTGGCTTGTTTGCCAGTCATCATCGCCCATGAAGTGGAAAGGCAGGTGTGCCAACACCGCAGGTATCGGAAGGAGTTGCTGGATTTGAAGCCAGCAAACTGGGAGAGCAAGTTGAGCCGCGTGGATGAAAAGCAGATGAGTTTTGTCTTCAATCGACGGATGGGAGACCTGGCTTCCCAGTCCTTCTTGCGACAGTCTACCCATGTGCAAGACAACAGACTTGAGTTCCTTCCAGGAAAAGGCAAGGGGTGTGAGATGCTCCGAATTGCTTTCACGCGCGACACCAACGACCTTTTGAAGGGCAGCTACAAGCTGAGTGGAAGCAATTGGGGTCCTCATGTTTTGCGCTGCGTTTCCCGGAAAGGGGAAGACACTGGCTGGGACTTTCTCAAAGAAGTGTATGAAGGCAAGATGCGCAGTCGGATGGGACATGAGATGGGACCTCCGCATCCACAGGGCAGAAGTGTAATCCCTTCCACCTATTGAAAAACACGAGGCCCCCCCCAATAAGGAAACCTCGGTCGCAATTTTTCTAATAGGGGGTCCCTGAAATCGGGGGGTCCAAAATAGGGTCACCTGGAAAGAGTTTCAAAACAAAAAAGTAATCCATGAAACTTTTATATAAAATCCTTTATTAAACGCGTATCAAAAATGCAAAAAACCTCCAGATCGAAGGGTCTTCCTTTTCCCCTACAAACACCTTCATTAGAATAGTGATTCTTCAGTAGACTAACAGCTAAAGCTTTCGAAAGGTGATGTCGCTGTGCCATGCGGTGTTGCATGACCTCGGGATTATATACTGCGAGGGGACATGCTTTGGAAGCTGGAAATTAATAGTTTTCGTG